ACTTATGTGGTAACCGCGAATGGTTCACCACTTATCGTAGTCTGAACCCCCCTCGGAGGATCGTTCTGGGAAATAAGAAGGTGATTTTAGCGCCGGGTATTGGACAAGTAAGAGTTACGTTCAACTCTGGACACTCACCACAAAATGCGACAATACGCAACGTCCTTTATTGCCCCGAAATAGCCCACAACCTCCTATCCGTCATCCAACTCAATTCTTCTGGCGCGTATGCAACTTTCCAACATGGAAATTGTCAAATCTTCAACTCAGCAGATCAACTAATTGCTGTTGCACGCACCGAGAATGGTCTTTATAGACTACCCGTCACCGTCGCTGCCCTTGAAAAGGCTTACATAACCACCTCCCACTCCGACGATGCTGCTAACGTGGCGCGCACCACTACTGCAAGTGCTTCTATCGATGTATGGCACAAACGACTAGGCCACATCGCGAAAGACTCTATTTTTAAAATGATGCGTAGTGGAATGGTTAGAGGCATGGACGTGATCGGACACAGAAACAATGACGGAGCGGCTTACTGTCCAGAATGTGAGGCCTCATCCCATCACCGTAACCCCATCCCTTCCGAAACCCATACTCGCTCAGACAAAATCCTCGGTCGAGTCTTCTCCGATGTCTGCGAAATGCAAACAGTGACACGTGAAGGGTTTAAATACTTCATCACTTTTGTCGATGATCACAGCCGATATCTTACCGTCTATCCGATGAAGAACAAGTCTGACGCACTCGAGAAGTTCAGGGAGTTTCTTGCAGAGGCGGAAAGGCAGACAGGCCACAAGTTGAAGGTTCTTCGAATGGATGGTGGCAGCGAGTATTTTTCTACTGAATTCACCGAATATCTAAAGAGTATCGGCATCGTCCATGAGAAGACGAATCCACGCACACCACAGGAAAATGGGGTAGCCGAAAGGGTCAACAGGACCCTGGTGACAATGAGTATCGCCATGTTGAAGAGCGTTGAGTCGAAACTCGGCCACTCTGCTTGGCCGTACGCGTTGCGACATGCTGCGCTAATAAAGAACGCCTCCCCCCACTCCGCATTACCTGACGACATCTCTCCCTACGAACGTTACTTTGGTAATAAACCAAACCTTTCAACACTACGTACCTTTGGCTGCAAAGCCACACTCCACATTCATCGTGACCTCCGTCGTAAGCTGGATGACCGCTCCATTCCCGGCATTCACCTTGGATTGGCCCAAGGGAAGAAAGCATTCGTAATTTACGATCCCAAGACTCGGAAACTTCACGAGTCCAGGGATGTTCACTTCTTTGAAGAGTCGGATAAGGAATCAGAGCGCGTGACAATTGAGGTAGAATCACCTGATTCCCCGTCGCATGTGATCGCTCCCGGGAAGAATGATGGAATGGATAAGGTTGAGGGAGATGGAAATGGTGGAGGGGAAGATCGAGAAGATCGAGAGGGAGAAAGGGGTGAGAGTGAGGACGAAGATGGATTAGATGGAGAGAACCCACCTACACCTGTCCCCGAACCCGAAGTTCAACTGCCTGAACCACGTCGATCAACACGTATACGTCGCGCACCTGTCCCAGATGACGACATCCGATATGAGGCTTCATCCTACAACAGAACGCAAAATGCCCCTGAGTTAGTGGGCGTAACTTGGGCGATGTCGGCGACAACAACAATACCGCGCACCTATAAGGAAGCCATGGATCGCCATGATTCGAATTCGTGGCTTGAGGCTTGCACTGAAGAACTTAGTGCGTTGAAGGAGACAGGGACTTACCTTCCCGTACGAAAGAGTCAAGTCGACCCTCATAACGTTGTGGGATCTAAATGGGTATTTGCATTGAAGAAGGGGGCCGATGGGGAAATAGAGCGATACAAAGCTCGCATCGTCGCAAAGGGTTTTAGTCAAATTTACGCGATCGATTATGAGGAGACTTTCGCACCTGTCGTTAAGTGGGCCTCCATACGGATTCTCCTTGCATTAGGTGCCCGTCTAGATCTGGAGATCCACCAGATGGACGTGAAGACCGCATTCCTAAACGGCGAACTCGAACACGATATCTTTATGCAACCCCCTCCTGGATCTTGGGCGGAAGGACATAGTGTGGAAGTTGCAGAAAAGTTTGTATGGTCTCAAACAAGCGTCGCAAGCATGGTACACGAAAGCCAAAGAAGAGTTGAATAAACTCGGCTTTACCCAATCGAACTCAGATCACGCTGTCTTCATTTTTACTTATCGGGCAACCTTCTGTATCATCGCGCTCTACGTCGATGACTTGATGATCCTCTCCAACCATCTCCCCCTCCTTCGGAAGAAGAAGAAGCAATTAATGTCCACGTTCAAGATGAAGGACTTGGGGGAGATTCACTGGTTTCTTGGACTGGAGATCACACGCGATCGCCAACGGCGACTACTCTTCATCTCTCAATCACGCTATATCACTGATGTCGTCGATCGCTTTGGATTCAATGGCTCTCGTAACGTCTCGACACCCATGTCCTCTAACGTAAAACTTGCTCGCCATGAAGAACCTGACCCCGACATCAACACCCGTGAATATCAATCCCGCATTGGATCCATCATGTACGCTATGCTCGGGACTCGCCCCGACATCAGTTTCGCCATTACCACACTAAGTCAGTACTCTTCTAATCCAGGAGAGGAACACTGGACTGCCGTCAACCGACTACTTCGCTACCTCAACGCGTCAAAACATCTCAAGTTAGTCTATGACGGTAATTCCACTAATGACGACAAAACCGGGTACTCAGATTCTGATTGGGCTGGCGACTCAAGGGACTATCGGTCCATCTCCGGTTTCGTTTTTATTATGGCAGGAGCTGCCGTCAGCTGGAGTTCAAAGAAGCAAGCTTCCATTGCTCTCTCTAGCACAGAAGGTGAGTACATGGCTACAACGCACGCGGCTAAAGAAGCTCTTTGGATACAACAGTTTCTCCACGACATTAACCTACCCCTCGCCGAACCAACAACTCTCTTAGTCGACAACCAAGGCGCTATCGCGCTTGCGACGAATCCCACCTTCCATGCCCGAACCAAACATATCGGTGTACGACAACACTTCATCCGCGAACGCGTCGAAAATCGCGAAATCAATCTTGAATATGTCCCAACTGACGACCAAGTTGCCGACGTACTAACGAAAGCCCTATCTTACGTCAAGCATTCAAAGTTTCGAATCGCTATGGGATTGCATGAGTAGGTCCACATCGAGTGGGCATGTTGAAATTCTTGTTTCTTGGTACGCTGTGGACCGACCATTGAATACAACGGACTATATTTCTTGCACACGGACATTTCCTTGTAGGATTGCCCGATGCTACCGTTTATGGCGACCATGTTGATGGACGCAGTCGAGGATGGCTTAAAAGCCGCCTCGCGCAATTTTTCCTCTTCTCTCCTCAGTTCACGTACTTGGAACTGAGGTGAGATATCTATCTCTTTGCGTCTTGTATGTCTTTCTGATGATTGTACATACTACCCTAGCGCTTATACGCGACTAGGTGATTATCAATCTTATTAGTTCACGTACTTGGAACTGAGCGCTTATACGCGACTAGTTCATAACTTCAATATTATATATAGGCACCTACTAAAGTGCAGCTACAATGGGGATACTGTACTAACATGACCACCAACCTGTCATGCATCATGCTGGCCTCAAGGTCACACTGTAAACCTGGTTTCAGGGTGGCTGTGCAAACTGTAATTCAAATTTCCCTTTTTTGGAAGTAAATACGTTCAAAAATGAAAAATGGCCAATTCCTCATCCAATAGTATTGCCTTCCTTTTATGGTAAGTTCACCAGTTGGGTGTCACACATCAACATGAGCTGCCGGTTCAGTACTTTTGGTCACTCCAGATGCAACTGTACAGTACATGGCAACTAGGGCTCCTAGCGGATCGGATGATCTGCAGATATCTGCAACTGCATCCGAAAATTCATGGATCCAGTTTTGGATTTCCAGTGGATAGTATCCATGGTTTCTAATCCACAGATGGGCAGATTATCCATGGATTTATTGTCACCTACTGTTCTAGATACCCCTCCTATGTTTCTATATTTTTTTCCTATTTTTTCAAGTCTTAATTGACCACCCAGGCCCGTTATTTCCAAATTAGGCATTTGACCTCCAAGTTTTCCCCATATTTCCATTAGTTCTCCACCAATATGAACAAATTTGGTATTCTTAGAAAGCTCCCGTCAAGGACATTCTGACGAAATGCAATTTCGGAACATTTTATCTACAATCCGCGGTTGATCTGCATATCCACGGATTTCTAACTGCCGGATATGGATTTTGTTCCAAACCTCTAAATATCCGCGGATCCTGATCCTGATCCGATCTGATCCGATCCACTAGGAGCCATAATGGCAACTGATAGGAAGAATAACATGACAAGAGGACTAATACATTTGGGTAATCATAAGCAAGATGTGGGATAGGGGTGATGCATGGCGGAAGATAGTGGTGTGAGGGAATGAGGGATTTTATCTGCATTCTTCCAATCAACCTGGATCAGCTTACAGCTTCTCTCCTTCTGGCATAGGGGGTCAGGGTAGCCAGATAGGCCATGCCCTGACACCTTCAGGCCCTTGCATACTCAGTGCACCAGAGCATCAGTGCAGCTACTCAGATGGTTGAACATTATCTAAGAAGGTTGGTTGACCAGCAATCCCCACATACCATTATGCTCATTGGGTCATGAGTAGTAGGTGTTCTCCGACTGGTATGGTTCGGACCCTGGCTGATTAGCCTGATCAATCTGCGGATCAATCCGATCTGGTAGGAGCCCTAGTTTTGAGTTCACAGTTTGATTGAAAAATATAACAACAACTGCGGGAGGACTCAGGTGAGGTCTTAGCTGATGGCAATGTTGATGGTGACCAGGCCTGCAAGGCGAAAAGAGTGGCATGTTCGGCCACTTCAGGCGGCGGTCGCCGGTTATTCCCGGGATCAACAGTCGCGCGTTGCGCGGACCAAGGCAAAAACCGGGTTTCACATTGTGCTGATACACTATATATATGGCTCTTCAGACGTCCTCTCAGTCTTCCTTGTGCTCTCACCTGTTGGCCAATGAAGTTCTCAACCATGGTCATTCCCATTGCTGTATTCGTTTCCACTATCACAATGGCCCTTGCTGCTTCTGTTCGTACCAAGCTGAAGGGTCCAGTAAAGCCCGACTCGTACATTGTGTATGTCTAACACACGGCATAGCATAATACTGGCTGACTCATTGCTTAGTGTGCTGAAATCTGGTGAAGATATGGAACATCATATCGAAGGTATCACTCGGATATCCGCCCGGAGCCCTGGGTCAGAATTTTCAATCAATCACCGGTATAAAAGTAAGTTGATATTAGGGAATTTCGCCTCGAAGATAGGCTAACTATCGTAGTGCTGAATGGCTACTCTGCACATGTAACTGGAGCATCCCTTTCTCGAATTTTCAGTTGCCCCGAAGTTGAATATGTCGAAGCTGACGCCATAGTTTCCATTTGCGATGGCCTCCATGAAGTGAATGAGGGGCTTGTGACAGAGTTCAACGATGTCCCAGCCGAAATAAGGGATGACCCAGGCGAACTCGGAGGACGCGCCGATAGGAAGCCAGTGGAGCTTATTGTGGGAGCGGCCGGTCTCGCCCCTTTCCACTTCTCCTTTATGGAGGCGGACGGGTCGACCCGTGTAGTTGGAGGTGCTGTGCGTATCTCTTTATGCACTGTCATACATGTTCACCCATATCTGCTTGTGTGTGCAGGCCGTTGATCCTCGCGGTAACCCCTTGGTAGATCTCAACGGTCATGGCACAATGGTGGCCGGGAGAGCAGCGGGGAACATTTATGGCGTGACGACCTGGCCCACCATTTATTCGATCAAGGTTTCCAATTCAAGGGAAGCAGCGACGACCGACGTAATGCGAGGCATCGAGCTCGCTGTCGAACGATTTGAATCCACTGAATCCCATTCCATCTTTATATTAACCTTCATCTCCGACTTCGATTCCATTCTTAATATGGCCGTCAATGATGCCGTCAAGAGGGGTTTGCCCATTGTAGTCCCTGCAGGGGGAGGCAGCAAGAACGTAGACGAGAAAGTCAGTCCTGCTTCCGCTGCTAACCCTATCGCCGTTGGCGCTATCGAAGACTGTACTCCGCCTCGGGTTGCATCGTTCTCCAACTGGGGACCTACGGTTATCGCTTTTGCCAAAGGCACCGCTGTCGTTCCTTCGATCAGCGGCGCGGGTGAGTGGCAGACTGAGACTAGCACTACGATGTCAGCTGCATATGTTGCGGGTTTGTTAGCCGAATGGTTAAGTTACCATGAGAAATTGGTGACACCTGTTCAGCTAAAGATTGACCTCAAGGCCCATTTCTCCAAAAACGTTCGGGATCCAGATGGAATAATGAAGTGGAGTGCAAGACCCTTCCGACTTGTACCCAGTCAGAGGAGCTCCGTGGACGCGCAAAATAATAGCTTTTTTACGCAATAGGGGGCCTCACAGTTGATTAAAGTGGAGCTAAACTGGGTTCTGAAGTGGTTCTAAATTCCACCTCAAGTAGGGCCTCAGTTTAGAGCGAGTTTAGGGTCACTTCAAGGGTGCTCACAGTTAGAGCGGTTCTAAAGTGTGTCCAAAGTAGCTTGGGCCTGGATCACCTTGGACAACCGATATCTAGACCTATAGAGGGGGGTTCTCAGGACGTTTGAAGAGGGCCTAGAGGCCTCTTTTGTATGGGAACATCCTAGGACGTCCTGAGATGTCCTGACAATTCACTTTCAATTCAAATGTTCAAGTAACGATGTCCTTAATTCACAATCCACTTCTGGAGCTGTGTGCACGCAGAATCATGGGTTCGAGTAATAATACGAAATAAAGAGGCGATTGAGAGGAATTCATCGCAAAAAACCCGATGGCAAATGGTTGAGAACTGATGGAGAAATGTGTGATTCTCGGTTCACTCAACACCGCACGGGAGTGGCATGCGTGGGAAATGACATGCAAGGTCAAAGTTCAGTGCCTCTCAGATGTCAAAAAAATACGAGAAAATATGTCAAGTTTACTTTGAGGACATGTATTGTAGTGCACAAACTTTCAGGACATTTGGACTACTATTCAGTGAGATAGGGGAAATGCACAATGTATTCCCCGCTCCTCCCATACTATCTTGCTCATTTCTCCACCATTTGGAATGAGACCAACTGCGTTGGAAAGCTAAGGTTTATTATAGTTGAATGGTGTAAAGTTAGAACGGTTATGGGGAGCGGTTGAGGCTTTCAACACAAGTTTGGGTTTCCAGGCCACTTCTGTCTTTTTCAATTTCTTTTATTAGTGTTTTCCATTTCTTAAACCCAATTGGAATGTTCTTGAAGCTACCATAGCATATTATTTCTGTTTGTTTCTACAGGGAAAGGTTCATACACCACAAAATAACTATTTTTATGGATTTTACACTGTAGCCACACAGCGCACAGGCCCAGTATTGCCTCCATTCGCACCTCCATTTAAGACCCACATTACTCGCTCTTTCTAATTTTTTTTTTCTATTTTTCTGAAACCATTTTCAGTTCCTAAGCAGGATTCTCATGCACAGCATAACTTTCAACTTCTTACTTGACGGTCTCCACTTATACCCAACGTTCTTATGCTCGATCGATAGAGCACAATTAGATATCCTACCATGCCAATTTTCGTGCTTAATGGACAAATATTAGTAGAGATTCTGATTCAACACCATGCTGAATCTCACGTGGACTTGACAGCACCTGTCAATGGTGGTACCTCAAGAACCACAGGGCCAATTTGAATAAAATTGAGCTTGTTGGAAAGCTGGAGGAGAGGAGAAGTTAGTGTGGCTCAAAAAAAGGCATGGAAAGCGACGGTTTGGTTTCGCGTCGACCTTCTTTCATATCAGGCTGCTCCAGCAGTATTTCCTCCATTTCTCCCCCATTTCTTCGTCGATTTACACATATTTTGTATCACTGAAAAGCTGTTATCAAAATGAGTCGAACTAGTCTGTAGCGGAGAGATTTTGTTCAGCCGTTGTGAAGATCGTCAACTTTATTCATTGTGTTGCCATCAATCGGCATAACTTGCAAATATATTGACAAAGATGTCATCGATTTCTCTCAAACTTGGTACTATGGGAAGAATATTCTCCACGGGCACTCAGGATATTTTTCCATATTTTTAAGGCTCCTGAGAGACTCTGAATGTCGACTTTTTCCCTTTTCCCACGCAATCCATGTTCAGTGAATATTCATGACAACACATGTTAGAACTTGAATGTGGTAATATATATGCTTACATGCGACATAACATGTGTGTTCTTCATTCTGATACCTAGCTATAAGGTTATACATTTCCTTACAGAATGTTAGCCAGAGCTTGTATGTACTTGTAAGCGATGGATTTTCCAAATCGGTGGAGATTTGACAGAGATGCCAGCCTCTCAAGCTACCCATAGTAGGTGCATACCGGATATGGTTATCTACAATGGCTTGTAAAATCTCCAAAATCTTTATAAGCATTAAAAATCCCCTTGAAAGCACCATGGCAGAGTATAATGCTCGAAATCATTGAGAAACATTGGCCATTCCCCCACCTCGGCCCTAATTCCCTTTATCTTTTCCATTTTCCTGTCTACTATTTATGTAAATAGCCGTATGTACAACATCGCGGGGCACATAGTTATCAGGACATCCTCATATTTTCCCACAGTCCATTTTTGGCAACAAGCCGCATCACCAGGACGTCCCAGGACGTCCACATTGAAATAGGCCGTTTAGGCCCTATTTGAAGCGTAAAAAGCACCCCTTGATAGGGTGGGTTAATTGGCTGACTAGCCTGGCCTGGATCTCATAAGTCCGTTCCATTCTGTGTCATGCAATCACTATACATCTGAATGCCATCTACTTCTGACTGCCAGCTCCTCATACACACGGTGTGCTCTGTTGGAGGAACAACCTCAGAGCATATTTACGTTGGACATGTTACATAGAATCAATTGCCATCCTGACTGAGTCAAGCCTTTGAACTGGTTCTTTGATGAAGACTTGGGTGAATGGGAGCGTGAAGTTGAGCTAGAGTGTGATGTTGTTTATATAGGTGTAATGTACAATCCATTGGGCTAATGACAACAAAGGAAACAGTGAATGTGAAACTAGTGCCTCTGATGCTTTGGCTGAAGCTGCCCCCTCCCCCTTCGTCCTTGTGTCGCATCTGCCATGACAACATGCGGCCCTCCAGCATGCTCTGTGAATACATGTGTTAGAACTGGGTGAGGGCGGACAATTCCAGAGGGGAACCAGAGACTTAGCAAGGAGGACCTTGGCCTCAGCAACTCAAGTGGAGCACTGTGCCATTGCTGTTTGGCCATTTGGTCCTTAATTTCATAGGCGGTGAGCAGGAAGTCTCTAGGGGGCATTTCAGGTCGTAACTTGGCAGAGGGTTGGTGGAAGAGGGCCAGAGGGAAGAGAGAGGAGAGAGTGAGAGTGAGAGGAGTGGAGGAGAGGAAAGGTGTCAGGTCCAAAGGTGAATATCGGAACAGACAGGAGAAGGGTAGGAGGGTGACGGAAGGGTGGAGGTGTCGTGAGGAGGAAGAGGAGGAGTGGGAGGAGCGATGTTCAGTCCGAGATGAGTATCAGAGCGAATGGAGATAGGGTAGGAGAAGGATGGAAGGGTGGAGGTGTCATGAGGGATGAGGGGAGGTGTGGTGTCAGGTGTGGTGTCAGGACCAAAGGTGAATATCGGAATGGACGGTGGTAGGGTAGGACTCCAGAGGTGGTGAAGATGGAGGTCCGGGAGTCGGTTCGGGATCTGGTATGCACGGATATGACAACATGCATGTCAACATCAACAACACCAATGTCTAAAATTAAGGATCCACTCTTGAGTTCTAGTTTGGACACTGATGACAACAGTGACAACAATATCCATGTTGAGCAGCTGCAGCAGCATGGTGAAGGGAATGGACAGGTGATCTAAGTAGCAAACTGTACAGTTAGTGTTAACGCAGACTTACTCAGTTTTAAAGCCGAGTTTAGATGGGTGACTTTAGGCAAATTGGGGCTCGTGAGCCCCAAGTCGAGAAGGACCTAAAGTGGTGACTTTAGATCTAGTTTTGATGCACTTTTGTCACTTTAGGTTCACTTGAGATCCAGTTTAGGCAAATTTATTCAACCATGAGCCCCCCTAATGTAAATAAATGTTCTCACACTAGACCTGCTTCCGATTGAAGTCACATTCTGTACTCAATACAACAGATCACATGGTATGGAGTTAAACATAGCCGATCACCTACTCCGAAACTTGCGTGCAACACTTCGCTCCTCTGACTGGGGCAAATTGTAGATGGCTGTGCTACAGCACTTTCTGTCCCAAATTTTCCCACGCTAATCTGTGGCCCAATTAGGCATCCAACGCCAACATCTCCACCCTCCATGTCCACCTCTGCTTCACTTGATCCTATCCCATCTGAACCTTCCATGTCCATCTCATCTGAGCCCTCCTGTCAGGGCACACACCTGACCCCACACCGCGCCGCCCTACTCCGCTCCCCCGCTATCACTCCCTGTTTCTCCTTTCCCCTTTTCCTTCTTTCTTTCTATTTCTGTTCCATGGTCGACTTCCCCTTCTCTATGTATTACTACACACTTAACCCCACTCCCCCGATCGCCGCGCCCGCCGCGCGCATTCCCGCTCACAGAGCGGCACACCTCCGGGATCTCCCACGGAGACACCCAGGGGAGTGCGGCTGTGTGTGGTGTAGGAGAAATAACAGCCACACTATGGAAACCCATTATGGAAATATGCCAGATAAATCACAAAACCTCATACGACAAGTAGATATGAGAACATAGAAGGACCTGAATTTTAACGAATTTTACGAATTTTTACGAATTATTATGACTATACACGATAAATCGAAAGAAAGAAAAATAACAAAAATACTTCAAGCTTACCATCAACGAGACGGAATTCTCGGGGGAATTTATAGCAAATATTAAACCAAGAATTAGGACAATCGACCAAGATTTGACTATAAAAATAATCAGAGAACCTCCATGGAAACTACTTTCCCACGTCCGCACACGTAGCAAGGATGGAAGTACCACGGAACAAAGGTTCCTCAGGAACTAATGCAAAAGTCAAAGTCGTGTTTATAATAGGAAATGTAGATGTCACCCAAACGGAACCAATGAGAGTAATTACAGGGGAAACTACCCATAAACGACGGAGATATGACTAAAACTCCTGCAAAACGAGGACAATGTCTAAAAAGCAAGCGCGAAGATTAACTAGTAACGACCGAGACAAGCTTGATAGCCCATTAGAAAGGAAAGGATCTACTCTTAATCCTCCCAAATTTTCATAATAAAAGGATCATGCGTTAATGAGAAATCCAATAACGGGAATAGCGACATCAAAAGTCCGAGCTCAGGGACAAGACGATGATTGCGTAGGATCCATAATTAAAACATACAACGAAATTTACACGGAAATTATGAAAAATAGGAAACTATAGTTATGCAAATTCTCAGCCCAAACGGTCCAGCCGTTGTGAAGTTATACCCATGACGGGAATATAGGAATCCGCATCATGTGTAATGACATGTGAGGGTGGCGATGCGCAGGGAACCGGCTGTCGGAACTGAGATCCGCACTTCGGCAGATCGCGAAGACCAATTTCCGTCCAAATAAGGAAGAGCCCGGTCAAAACAAAGCATGGAAAGTGCAAAACAACCTTAGATCATGAGGGAAAAATCTGAAATAAATCACAGAAGCCCATATGAAA